AATTCGACCAAGGTGTATAGCCGCTCAACAGACGAGACACGAACACTGCAAACCTCCAATATCTTTTTTTCTTATTTATTTCCTTCCGAAACGTCGCACCCTATCGTTCATTCAACCGATTTGAAGAGCGATACGCTCCTCAATACCAAGACCTTCCCGGCTGTATACTTCCAGTATAAGTATGGGATGCCAGAGATAAGGGCTGCATGCAATCCTCTTATGGAATCGCTGAGGTTGACCCCTGAACTGCTGAAGGGGATTGGCAAGGAGGTATATTCTGAAGGGTACTGCAGCGACAAGGATAAGGGTCTGGACTGCGCCATGTTACTCTGCGATATCGGAACCTCCTATGCCGCAACGCTCAAATTAACGGATTCACACAAAATGCTCAGGGAACATCTACATGCATTATGCAGTGTGTCGGTTTGCGTTTCTAATTATACCCTGGGCTATGATCGCACGAAACCGTCAAATGTGTTGCAAGGAAGCAAAGGTCAAGCGCTGGCGCAGAAACTGCTCACGAATATGCATAATTATCTGAATAATAAATCGAAAGTCATACTACACGAGTACAGTGCAAGCGACGATGCCATCACATCGCTGGCATCTACACTAGGCGTTCATTCTAACTTGACCCTACATCCACCCTTCAGTATGTCGCTTGTCTTCTTTCTGAAGACCCTGAATGGTGTCTCCAATGTTTCCATTTTCGCGATTTATCCAGTTGAAGGGCTTTGGGATACTACATGGGAAATCCTTAAAATCCCTCTAATGAAGATCACACAAGAATTTGATGTGCTGCCCACGGACTATGAAGGCATTTTAACATTTAAAGAATTTGAAGGTCTCATCAATTCGTCGGCACCAACGAGTAAAGAAGGGCTGTGCTACCTGGATCCCGTGCTGAAGGAGCGAATGAACTGTTCAGTGACTGGTGGTGAGAGTACCGACCATTCATTAAATGAGGATTGCTTATTCTATTTTAGGCAGTGCTCCGCATTTGTGAATAAACCAGGTTATCGTTTGAGTTCAAACTATACTTACTATCCAACTGCCATTGTTACAGTAATAATGAAGAAAAGTGGGTTGAGTTTAAGCATGATCGTGGTGGTTTGTGTTACGGCATTCCTGTCTGGTCTGCTGTTGGGCTTGATTATTTTTTCAGTCCGCAGGTTATGTATGACCCCT